TGTGTGTGTGTGTGTGTGTGTTTGTAAATTTCAAAATGAACTGTACGGTATTCAAAGACAGCTGTGTTCCAGACAACACTGCCACCTATTCCAGATCTATAATAAACGTAAGTATGCCTATAGAAGACTATAGTAGAAGGCATGCATAACTCAGCCTAGATGTCAAAGTCCGTCTATAAAGGTCTGGATCAAGAAATGAAAAGCTATATATACTTCTACCTTGCCCATGCACACGAATTCTCATCAATGCCGATTAGAACTTCTAGATCTCATTCCTACGAGCTCGTACATACTACTTGGCACACTTTCCGCGGAAACAAGACACCGCCAATTCGAAATTGACAACCTCACTCATTAATACCTTATCAAACTTACAAAATATATACACCTTCAGTTCTGCTATCATAATTAGAATATCAAATTCATAGAATCCGCACCTGTGTCGACGACCTATCGAATGTGACCTCGACCACGAACTACTCATCGGTGACCGAGACCTTCGCATCGGTGAGGGGGAAATAGATCTACCCCTCATACTATTTATGGTTTTAAAGAGTGTTGCGTTGGTGCAGTGTTTTAAAATTCAACGTGTGTGTAGCGCCTCTCTTCATATGCGTTGTATCTCCTACTTGGGCGAGAGGATGCACACTAATATAACCTAAATATGTCCAGATTATCCAGGCCGACAGCAGTATGTATTGGGGATAAAGTAAGTATGCATGTATGTAAATACCTCAAGACTCTTCTCATCAGAGAATATAAACACAAAAATAGTGTATTTATGTGTGTACAATTATACATATACTATTTACAGTATGTGTGCATGTATTTATCACCAACTTTTGTGTGTTTATGGTTTTTAGCAAAAACAAACCCTGCCAAAAGTATAGCATGCGTCGGTAGCTTATGACCAACACTCTTCTTTTTTCAGGAAAAGTACATATTTACTCAGTAATTTGTAAATATACATTTGCGCGCCAAAATTTGGATGACATGTGCAGTGGCCGTTCCGATTGATGAATCACTTCTGATGCAATTTCGATAAATAATATGTATTATGAAAATTTATAATATATTTTTTTGGAAACTAAGGTATTCACCACCTGTCAATCAACTACCATAAAGCAGTACTACTTTATGGCTTAGTATATTTAGAGGCAATTAACAGAAACTTATCCTCCAAACCCGGTTGGTGCAGCAACTAATCTGTCACTGTATCGAGCGGTGTGAGGATATCTAGCTGTTCACAGCCCAGGTAGGTCGCTACCAGTAGAAGCAGTAGAGCTTTACCTGTACGTCTGTCTATACCGACTACATACCGCATATATATATATATATATATATATGTGTGTGTGTGTGTGTGTGTGTGTGTGTGTGTGTGTGTGTGTGTGTGTGTGTGTGTGTGT